AACGAAGAGCATCTCAAAGCACTTTTGAAGGAGGACGGTCGCCAAACAAGTCGTGAATTGGCCGAAAAAATGAACTGCGATCATAAAACGATTCTCAATCATCTTCATTCAATGGGATTTGCCGAAAAATTGGGAGCCTGGGTGCCCCATGTTGCACAAGTCGTCAAAGCCGCACTCCAAGAGCTCGAAAGGGAGGTCCTTCAGCATCCGCCGTATTCTCCGGACCTTGCACCGACGGATTACCATCTTTTCCGCTCCCTGTCGAACCATATGAGGGGCGTTACCTTCGACAATAAAGAGGACCTTAAAAACTGTCTCAACAACTTCTTCGATACCAGACCGGGCGATTTTTGGCGGAACGGCATCGACAATTAGTCGAGAGGTGGGAGGAGGTCGTAAACAGCAACGGCGAATACATAATTGATTAATTTATTGTTATAACTATTGATTTTTGTTTATATAAAAGTCTTTGATAAAAACGCTACGAACTTATTCCCCAACCCAATATATCCTCATCTATATGAGATAGCTCGAGACTTCCTGTCCAGAGTCGCTACCTCTGTTCCGGCAGAAAGACTATTTTCGAAAGCCGGTTCAACGGTCACAGAACGACGAAATAGACTGACTGGCAAACGTCTTTCTAAGCTCCTTTTCATGGCTTTACTGGAGGAATCCTTTTTCTTTGGATAAGTTAATAAAAATCAGGATAAGTTAGTTAGCAAGGATAAATTAATAAAAATGTTATTTCCTAAATTATGTGCGCTTTTTTGTATTTTACGCCTAGCTTCCCAAAGTTTGTTAGCTCTTAAATTTTCCCAAAATTTCCCTTGAAACGAGATCGATCTGGACAAATATCGATTTGTTCCATCCAATTTATCGATCTTTGAGATCGAGCGCTCCCGATTAATCGATTCACCCAGATCGATTTTTCCACAAGTTTTGCCCATCTCTAGATCGATTCTAAAGATTGATAATCCAAAGAAAAAAATTTCCCAGATCGATACCAAAAAATCGATAATCGAACGAATACATTCTAAATCGTCCCTACAGATCGATAACCCAACGAAGAGAATAACTTCACAAGTGATATCACACCGCCACAAGCGGTAACAGTGGTCTCCCCCGGCTCGCCTTATATGCCTCGGTAAACTAATCTTAAATACGAGTTGGCGTTGAGCGTGTTCGCCGCGTAGTGGTGGCGTACCGTACTAGCGCCGTACCAGTAACTCCTCCAATTTCGTCAGAGTCGTTTCGATCGCCTTGTACCATTCGGACAGATCTGTGGTGAGAAACAGCTGTCGGTTTTTCGTGACGATGCTCTTTACAGCGGTCTTTTCGCTCGCAACGAATTTCCCATTGAATAGTGCAGGAGAATTAGACTTAAAACCACTCGATTTTTGAAAAAATTGTAAACAGGCATTTGTTTGCATGAAATGGTGCCG